ATGGAGGCAGATTTTAAGGAAAGATTACATATTTTTGTCAGGAGATCCAGAAGTTCACATTTGAGTTCTTTCAGAACTGGATGCATGCCATCCGGGCCTGGTGATTAATCAGTTTTTACATTGTCTATCAGTCGTAGGACTTCCTCTCTCGTCACCTCAATCTGACTCAGGTCTTTCATCACCCCTTCTGAAATCAGTGGTTCTGGAGTGGACAAGCATTTCTCATCTTCCACAGTGAAGACAGAGGCAAAAAATGCATTCAGCTTCTCAGGCATTTCCCTATTGTCCTTCAGTACTCCTTTTACTCCTTGGTCATCCAAGGGTCCCACTGCCTCCCTGGCTGGTTTCCTGCTTCTAATGTATTTGAAGAAAGTTTTATTGTTCGTCTTTATGTTTTTTGCTATATGCTCCTCATATTCCCTTTTAGCTTGCCTGATCACAAACTTGCATTTTATTTGCCACAGCCTCTGTTCCCTTTTATCAACCTCACTGAGACGAAGAACATAAGAGAAGCCAATGTTGGATCAGGCCAATGGCCCATCTAGTCCAACACTCTGTCACACAGTGGCCAAAAATACCAGGTGCCATCAGGAGGTCCATCAGTGGGGTCAGGACACTAGAAGCCCTCCCACTGTTGCCCCCCCCCAAGAACACAGAGCATCACCTGGCCCAGCTTGTGAGTTCCTATCTATACCTTGTGGCTAATAGCCACTGATGGACCTCTGCTCCATATGTTTATCCAGTTCCCTCTTGAAGCTGTCCATGCTTGTAGCCACCGCCACCTCCTGTGGCAGTGAATTCTAGCTTTCCACCGCTTAAAGGAATCCTTCTTACCTTTCATTTCAGAGATGTTACCCCTTTTAAAGTTAAAAGTGGTTGTGTCAGTCTTTTTGGGCAACTCCCTATTTATACAAATGTTGAACTCAATAACATTATAGTCACTGTACCCAAGTGGTGCAATCACTTTTACATCTATCACCAGGTCTTGGGCATTACTTAGGACCAAATCCAAGATCGCCTCTCCCCTGGTAGGTTCTGTGACCATCTGCTCTGATCTCCCGCCTGAACCTGCTGTCCAATGGGGTACTTGTTTCTCGGTGGCAACGTGACAACCCCTCACCTTCTCCTGACTTGTCTTTGGGCATGGAAGGGTTAGCAACATCGCTCTCACCAATCGGTGATGCCCTGATGTCCCGCTGGAAGCTGCTATCCAATGGGGTAATTGTTTCCAGGGGGGCAGATGTATCTATGTATAGGGTTGCTATACCACTGTTGCATTATAGCACTATAGCGCTATAAATCGACCGTGTTTTTTTAAAAAAAAGACGGAGATCACCCGCATGGCGGAAAACAGCGGGAAAACAAAGCGGTGCAGTCTGAAATGCCAAACCGCCTCTGATCCGGCTCTTTTCCGGTAGGGGAAAGCCCGGTGTGAAATGGCAGCCCTGTACTGGTTCACTTCAAAATGGATCATTACCGGCTTGAAACCGGGTGAAACTGGGTAATGTGAAATTCCTCCTTGCCACGCAGTCCATATCGTTAGCCACAGTCTCAGTGGACAATTCTAATCTATTTCCTTGTAGAAAAGTATCAGCTACCCCTTCATCTCTTTGAGATGAGCCATCCTGAACCAGAGACTTTTCATCTCCTGTCAGCTTTCACCAAATATTCAGTTTAAAAACTGCTCTGCCACCTTTTTGATTTTAAGGGCCAGCAACCTGCTTCCTTCTCAGGACAAGTAGAGACCATCTCTTTTGTACAGCTCCCTCTTGTTCCAAAAAGCATCCCAGTGCCTAACAAACGTGAACCCTTCCCCCCTACACCATCGTCTCATCCACATATTGAGATTCCTGATCTGTGCCTGTTTCTCCGGCCCTGCGCGTGGAACAGGTAGTACTTCTGAGAAAGCTATCTTGGAGGTCCTGGCCTTGAGTCTCCTGACTAACAGCCTAATTTTTTCTTCCAGGACCTCACAACTGCATTTCCCCACATTGTTGGTGCCCACATGTACCACAACCACTGGCTCCTCCCCAGCACTGTCTACCACTCTATCTAGAACATGTGTAATGTCCACTACCTTCGCACCAGGCAGGCAAGTCACCATACAGTTACCATACGGTCAGTATGCGGGTTCGCCACCCAGCTGTCTACCTGCCTAAGGATCGAATCACCAACTACCAAGAGCCCCCCTCTCTCCCTCCCTCCCTGCTCTGTTCACCAACTGAAGAAGAGGTCCCTTCTGAGGGCACATTCCCCTTATCCTCAGCACAGTGCTGTTTCCTCTCAACCCTCATGCTCCCTGACAACGGTGGGGCTGCCATATTCAGAGTGGGACATATCTCACAAGTCCCCGAGAGTCTTCTCCATGCGCCTGACTGTCTCTGCTTCTCCAGGCCAGCCACCTTGGCCTCAAGGGTACAAACCCGTTCCCTGAGAACTAGGAGTTCCTTGCACCAGGTACACACCCAAGAATTCTGTCCAGTGGGCAGACAGTCATACATGTGCCACTCCATGCAAAACACTGGATAGCCTCCAACTGCCTGCTAGCCTTTTACCTTCATAATTGCTGTTTAAAAAATTATATATAATCCCCATTTTAAAAACCCTTCATATTTACGTGGCTCTCCTTGTGGAAACTCTACTTGCCTTACTGGGAGCACAAGGCGACCAGGGCTCTGGATTTCTGGTCCTTCTTAGGCCTCTTACAGAGCCCCTAGTTTAAGAGTCCCTAGGCTGAGAGCTCTTTGGCTCTCACCAGAGGCTTGTGTCTCTGGTGAGGTGCCAGCCTTAAATAGAAGCCTCACCCAGCAGAGGGCAGGGCTAGCAGCTATTAAAATTACACCCAGGCAATCCAATTACGGTCAAACAAAGCACCCTTTCTCAAACAACCTGGACTCTGCAACAACTTAAAACCCCTCCAGCAGCTCTGTCTCCTGCTGCTTCTCAGAGCTCAGTTGGGTCAGCCTGAGACTCAGGTTGGATTACATACAGTAAATTATATACAGACAACAGAATAGTACATCAAATAAACAGGGCAATAGGGGCTGGACTGCAAAAATCTGAAAACAAGCAGAAATCTAAAACTGTGCTGAAACAAACCTGAAATGAAGCATATAGATTTAAACAAGGCAGTTAAGCAATGCAGAAATTACCTAGTAGGGCCGTAATTATAGAAACAGGCAGAACATAGTATAGTCCACAGTCCTTGTCCCTTTACCATATAATCTTTCTGAACCATTTCATGACAGTGCAGCCCCATTACCTTACCTGTATTTTAAAAAATCCCTCCTGAACAGCTCAGCTTTGCATAGTTTACAGAAGGTCAGGAGAGTGGGAGCCTTCCTGATCTTGCCAGGCAGGCCATTTTACAAGGGGCAGAACAGTGAATGTGCACATGTGCAAGCAGTTATCAACTTTGCTTATTTGCAGGGTGGCACCTGCAGACGGCCCTGGCAAAGTTGTTAGGGAGAGATGTGGTCCTGCAGATATGATGGACCAAGACCATTTAAGAGGATAGTTTTTTGAAAGATCAGTGAAAGCACACCTGCACACCATGCAAATGGGAAGGTGTCCATATCAGCACAATTTTCCTTGCCAAATTGTCTGAGTATAAGGCAGCTTCACCTTTTGCCTTTCCTCCCCGAAGTGAGTGGCTGCCGTCACACACACTAAATAAACCACTTTCAATCCACTTTCTAACTGGCAAACTCCAGTTGGAAAGTGGATTGAAAGTAGATTATTTAGTGTGTGACCACAGCCAGTGGGTTTTACTTTGGTTTTTCAGTGATGAATGAAAGGTGTTCTGTAGCTGTTGGTCTCCTGCCAACCTAGCAGTTTGAAAGCAAGAAACCTTCGATGGGAAGGTGACAGCATTCCGTGCGCCTTGGTGTTTAGTCATGCCGGCCACATGACCACGGAAACGTCTTCGGACAGCGCTGGCTCTTCGGCTTTGAAACAGAGATGAGCACCGCAACCCTAGAGTCGGACTCGACTGGCTTTCAAGCAAGGAAACCTTTACCTAGCCGTTGGAAGGCTTTGCAGCTCTGGATTCTGGCATAATTTAGGTCTGCAATCTTGTGTGCAGATGCATCCCACAGCATTGGTTTTTTACACAGAAGGGTCTCTCAATGGATTCATAAAGGCAAAAGTATATGATATGTAGACTTATTTGCATTGCAAGTGTTGTATATTGAGCCAGAGTCATCCCTGAACTAGTATCTGGATCTGGGTGAGCTAGTTTCCCCTGAACAATAGCTTACTAGGATCCTGGAGTAGACCAATAGAGAAACAGTGTTATGTAAATATCCTATCCTTGGGAGTGGGGTGTCTTTGGGGTGTGGTGATTACATGCCTAAAAACAGGGCAGCTGCCCTGGAGTTTGTCTTGTAGTGTTCCTGAAATCACCTAATAAAGTAGAGCTGTTTCACTGCAATGCATCCAGAACCCAGTATTTGACAGCAAGTAAGCCCCAGTTTAAAGTGAACAGGACTTACTTCACAGTATACATCCCAGAGGGACATGCTGTTGCATCCACTCGTAGCCCTTGCCTTGGAGGGAGTGCATTTTTAAAGACATGCTTTGCCACGGAGGAGTGGGGAGACCCAGACCATGTCTGAAATGAAATCAGCGTAACATAGACGTACAGTGCCTCCTGACCTGAGAGATGTGATTGGCTGCGCTATGAGGTCCCGAAAACTCCCCGGCGCTAGGATCCAAGTGAAACCTATTTGCTATCATTCAGCCGCGGCAAACAGATAGAAGGCCGGAAGAGGGGCCGCCTCGCGCAAGTGTGTATGCGCGCGCAGTCGCTAGCGAGTACACTTGCGCGCGGGAGGGGGGAAAGGTGAGGAGAGTCAAAAAGCCCTCGCGCGCGCACTAGGTGCCTGTGCGCATGTGTGTGTTCTGGCGCGTGCTGTTTCTTCGCTTGCTCGCGCGCGCGCGCGCCCCCTTGGGCTGTTGAAACTGCTCGGAATAGTTTCCTTGAGGCGGGCGGAGCCGCTGTGTGTCCCGCGGTAAACAGCTGGTTGGAGGCGGCGCCGGGCTGCTTCCCTCCTCCGCTGGGACTCCCCCAGCTCGGTTCGACGTTGTGATTGGGTGGAAAATGGCGCTGCGCGGATGGAAATCCTAATGACAGTCTCCAAAATCGCCTCCATCTGTACCATGGTGAGCCTCTCTCCCCGTAGCAGCTCTTCCATGCCGGTGTGTGGTGTGTGTCTGGGGCGAGGAGCGAGCGGTGGGGCTGCGCGGCCGGAGGCTGCTCGTGCGTGGGTGGGTGTGTCTCCAGTTTCACTCCGGAGAGAGACCGAGGCGTGTGGCGGGCGGCTGTGCCCCGCAGGGACACGTCTGTAAACAGCAGGCTTGGGAGCCAGGCAGCCCGATCCAAGGCATGTTTCCCTCTCGAATTAAAGCCCCCCACTTGAGTTCATTAGGGCTTGCTCCCCCAGGCAGGTTTTCATGAAACGGAACCGGGCCGGGTTTGTTTTTTGCAATGCAAAAAGCCCTTGCAAATTGTTGCAAATGAGCCAGGTCAGAAGATAAAGCTAGATGTATAGGGAAGCTTGGAGAACGAAGCGGTGGGCTGCAAGTGGTCGTCACATGGTGGTGGTGATGGAGGAGGGCGTATGTGAACAGATTGTGGTTTTCTAAAAAAAAAACTCTCCAGAGAAATGTGTGGGTGGGAGGGATTTAGGAGAGGGGCCTTGAGAAACGTGTGCTCGGGAGAACTGGAATTGTAAGTGTGTACGTGCCACGGAGCTGAGCGCAAGAAACGTGTTTCCTTTCTGTTACAAGGAGCCTCATACCAGTGGGGCTACCTTTATTGGCGTGTTGTAACAAAACAACAACACAGAATCCTGTGGTGGTACCTGATAACATGTTTAGGTACCTGTTTTGGTCCACAGCAGAATCCAATAATGAAAGCCAGTGTGCTGTATTATTTTGGTTTTGGCAATGTCTTTCATCTTAAAGACCAATAACTATATTGTAGTGTATGGGTTTGGTGAGTTAGAGCCTGTTTATTTTACTGTTCTCTTTGAGCTAGAAAGCAAATTATAGAGTGTAAATCATACAATCTACAGCAGAGGTGTCAAACTCATTTGTGATGAGGGCTGGATCTGACATAAATGTTACTTTATTGGGCCGAGCCATGTGTGCCACAAAATGTAATGCCAGGTACTAGAGCTATAAACTTCATAAAGGACATAGGCAAACCCAATTAACAATATTATTTTTTACTCAAAATACAAACCAAAGCAATTGATTTACTGGGGAACCCACAAAATTCCCAATAAATGTGTTTAATCATATGCAAGACTAGGTTTTTTCCCAACGGATACCATAAAAGGGGGAGTACCTTATATTTCTATACATACCAGTTGCTTGCTGGCAGGGTAAGAGCCCTGGATGGGTCGGTTCTGGCCCCTGGGCCTTATGTTTGATGCCCCTGATCTACAGGATGGGACATCAGTAAACAATGCAATAAGGTTTGGAGTGCAGAAATCTGAAACAAAGCATAAGCATTAACATGAGACATTAAAGATGCAGTAACTACATACTAGGAGCTGCGGTGGCTCAAGTGGTTAAGACGCTGAACTGCAGGCTGTGGAAGGCAAGTAGTTCAGCGGTTCGAGACCCGGGGGCCGCATGATGGAGTGAGCTCCCATCTCTGGTTCCAGATCCTGCCAACCTAGCAGTTCGAAAGCAAGAAATTGCAAGTATATAAATAGGGACCACTTCGGTGGGCAGGTAACAGCGTTCCGTGCGGCTTGGTGTTTAGTCATGCCGGCCACATGACCACGGAAACGTCTTCGGACAGCGCTGGCTCTTCGGCTTGGAAACGGAGATGAGCACCGCAACCCTAGAGTCGGATTCGACTGGCTTTCGAGCAAGGGAACCTTTACCTTTACCTTTAACTACATTCTAGGATCATACTTAGAGCTACAGGCAGTATCTATTATGGACAGTAGTGTAGTCCCTATCCCTTTACCAAAGCATCTTTCTTAACCCTTTTGTTATAGTACACCTGTGTAAAAAAAGCCATCCTGAATAACTCCGTTTTGCGTAATTTGCTGAAAGCCAGGAGAGTATGATTCTCTGGGCAGAATGGATGTGCTGGACCAGGCCACGGTTTCTCCTATCTAGACTTATTTTCTACAATAGCTTTAATTTGGTTATGGCATAATTTCTTTAAAAAGGAGCACAGAATCAAAACTGATGTTAATCAGCTTTAACGGATGCAGGGCAGGGACACTTTGACATATGTTTTAATGTAAGTAACTATCTAAGACAGGGATTCTTTAATACAGAAAGTCAGCTGAGTAAAACAGAAAATGCCACAGAAAGGAGGAGGTTCTTTTGAAATCTGGCTTAGCATATGGAGGTGTTCTTAAACCCTAAGTGTGCTGAGTTAGCTTTTTCCATCTCGTCTTACCGCTTTACTTAGCATAAAGAAAAATTGAAGCTCATGAAAACCACGCTGCTGCTTTCCCTTTGGATGCAAGTGATACAAAAATCTTGTTGAAAGTCAGGTATAATAGATTTTTCTTTCCTCTAAAAACAACCCACAGTTTTGCAAAAGACTGTAAATATCTTCTTATCAGTATTCAGCTGGTTTATGGTACATCTGTCTTGTCCTACCAGTGTGGAATAACTGAGGGGGCAAAGGTGACACTGATACGTGATTTAGTGAAAGAGTATTAGCCAGCAGTATTTCTTCTTTTTGAGCTTCATGTGCAACACCTATATGACTCTTTCAGTAATAACACATCACTCCCTTCTCCCCTTTATTCAGCTTGCCATACCTGTGACCTTGTCCCACAAAATTTACTTGTTTGTTTTCTCCTTCCCTCTGCTTTCCCTTTCCCTCAGGTTCAGCTATTTCTGCTTTTTATAGTTTACCCAGCTCCAAATGTTCTAGTTTTAAACAGTGGGTTAACAAGGAAACTTTTGAGCTTTCTATCTAGTGTTAAGAAATTCTTTAGGGCTCTTTGTAAGATGGACACATGAGAGATCTATGGTAGTAAGGCACAAATGATTTTTTATTTACTGTATCCCTGCAAATTCTCCTTTCTGATAGGGATAGGTAGACTTCTTCATTAACTGGGTAAGTAGAGCGTTGGAAATTATTCCCTTACACAAGTTGCAACTTTCATTGTTTTGTAGACCTTTAAAGGTCATCGCCACCCTTGGTTACCCTTTAAAGCAGCTTTAGATTCAGTTTAATCACTGTAGTAGAAGATACTGTACTTACTGTGCTTACATCTGTCCAGGTCCTAAGACGTAAGTTTTGCAGTGTTGCTTCTCATCAGGTATTAGCCTTTATTTATGAAGGTTAGGTAAACAAAATGATGCCATTATACTTTCCCCAGCCTTCACTGGAAAAGAAGAGTCCTAAGATAAATAGTCTGTAGACGTTTTGTCGTTTTACTCTAGGAATGAGTTTGCTTTTTGTCAATTATCACTTTTCTGGCACAACAGGAGTTATTTCCTCTTAGGATCTTGGTAGACCTAGTCTTGTCAGATAGTAGTATGATGGCCATCCAAATGTACATGAAAACTTGATGCTTCCCTGCCTTACTGCAGTGGGGGGGGGAGCTTTTATTACTTAACGCTTTGAAGCAGAAAAAGTTTGAAAGTCATTTGAAGTGAACATTTTGGAAGCTTATTCTCACACAGACTTGTGAAGCTGTCTTTTGACAAACCAAAGGAGGTAATAGATTCTGCTTGCTGGATTTTGCTAAACTGATCAGAGGCTTGTAAAATGAGAAACCATTAAGTTTCTAAATAATTAATGGACTAAATAGAGCTGTGAAACATAAAATTATTTCCAAAGCAATCTTAGTGAAACATTGGCACAGCAACACTGAATAATTGTATTACTGCAGTGTCTTTGTAGTTCACAGGGACTGCTATTAGAGTTTTAAATGTGACTTACTGCTCCCAATTTAGTGACCAGTTGGGCTTAATGCTGTGGTAGGACCAAGCAGCGTAACTAAACACATTTCCAGGAAAGATCATGTAACATTTTTGCTCTTTTCTGTGTGACCACGTTATGTGTAACCTCTGTAGGGTTTTGAGGTGATGTGTGTGATGCTGCTTCCTTGCCTTCCTTATGTTTGCTGTCACCAGAGGCTCTTGCCTTACAATTCTTAGGTGAACCAAAAGAACAGGATGGCTTAGTTGTATCTATATATCAAATTCTCAACAGTCCCTTCTGCGTGCGGATACTTATTTCTGCAGATAGAGGACACTCCCTCAACAGCTTTTTCTGCAGACTCAGGGGACTCCATGGATCTGCAGAAAAATCCAAAAAGTTTTTTAAAAAAACCTTGCAGAGGGTTGAATTTCCCTCCCCCCAATACCTTTTGAAATGGCTGCCACAGGGATCTACTCCAGGCCCCGCCGCATTGACAATGTGAGATAGACTGGCTGATAGCCACAGGGAGAGAGAGAGAGACAGAGGGGGAAGGAAGCAAAAAGCAGAACTGGAGCTGGGATTGGGGAGGATTCCTCCTGCAGTATGAATGACTAAATAGCAGTGGATTTGGAGCCAGGCCTGGAACTAGGATTGCCCACCCCAGGTTGAGAAATTCCTGGAGATTCTGTGATAAAATCTGAGGAGTGCCGAGTTTGGGGAGGGGACCTTAGCTGGATATAATGCCACAGAGTCCACCCATTTTCTCCAGGGGGACAGATCTCTGTTGTCTGGAGTTCAGTTGTAATTCTGGGGCATCTCCAGGTCCCACCTGGAGGTTGGCAAATGTAGGCCTAGCAGCACCCTCTGGATTACTTGATACCACCTGACTTGCATGATTCATCTAGTTTCCCCTAACTGAAGCAGACCAATAGAATTAAAGCAAAAATTGGTATTTTCTAGCACTTTAACGCTATATTTGATTTTAATACTGTTTTTATATTGATGTATTATTTTTACTAGGAACTGTATTAGTGTAATGAACTGTGTTTTATGTATTATGAGAGCTTTTATTCTGTTGTGAGCCAGCCTAGGCCGGATGGGCGGGATAAAAATCAATAAATAAATAAAATAGGTGTGGCTGCTTGCTGCTGTTCAATAGCAGCCAGCATGTGAAAGCCTGTGTAGTATAATGGTCAGAGCTTCAGTGTATGGTTTGTGAGACCCAGGTTTAGATCCCAATCTGGCTGTG